TCTTGAAAAATACTCGCCGATCTCACCGATCGGAAAGAAATGCAATCGTTTTCGATTCCATTGCTCACTTACTGTATTAACTCTCTCAAGGCACGCCTCCTGTACTGAATTAAAAACTTGAGAAGGCTGTTATCTTACAAGACACGAGTAAGAAGAGTTAGCCCTCGATTCCATATAATTTTTGTAACGAAGCCTTTTCGTGTGATGCCTTCAAGCATGATGCCTTTTCCCTTGATGCCTTTTTGCGTGATTCCTTTAAGTGTGATGCTTTTTTGCGTAATGCCCTTCAGTCTGATGCCTTTTCGCATGATCTCTTAAAGCGTGATGCCTTTTCGCGTGATGCCCATCAGCATGATGCCTTTTCGCGTTATGCCTTTAAGCGTGATACCTTTTCGCGTGATGCCTTTTAGCGTGATGCCTTTTCGAGTGATGCCTTTCAGTGTGATGCCTTTTAGCGTGATGCATTTTAGTGTGATGCCTTTTTGTGTGATGCCTGTTTACGTAATGACTATTTGTAGAATCGGCTTGTTGCCATTCAGCTTTGAATTGATGCATGTACAATTTGGATGACTTGATATCAATTACAGAGTATTGAATTTTGTCATAGATATACCTCCACAGCGAACAGACTCTTCGGATGGCAAGCAAGAAGAAGAGGAAAGGGGCATAATCTTCCTACTTTCTATCGTCGTTCGAACTTGTTCGGGCTTAAAACACTCTGTCAAGGTTGCGTGATTTCCAAGGTTAATGTTTAATCTTTGGCTGGTACATGTCAAAGGAAGGCTTCGGTCCAGTGTGGGGGGGATCATGCAGTGCTTTGATGGGGAAAAATTACCTTCAAACGCGATGAAAGCTTTCCTACTTTCTTGTTTCCTGTTTGTGCACAGCGTTGCCGAGGTTTGCCAAAAGCTTGATCAATGCTCTTGCAAGAAAAACAGTGGACAAATTATCAGCTTGTGGGAAATCGATGGAGGGTCAAACCCAGCGTAAGTCTGTAACAATCTTTTAATGTTATCGGTTCACTGATGGCAGGTATATTTTGCAGGTTTTGCGACCTGTTTATTCGAAATGAAGTTGAATAAACCCCAATATAATGGGTTACCGCAAGCAACCTACGCTAATTTAGGCTAACCGTAGTGTTAGGTAGACTCTCTCACGGAATGTATGAAGTCGATTTTTCAACCTGCAGCCTGCAACCTGCACATTCACTGACAAATGTGTCTCATTGTTAAAGATGAAACTCGAGTTGAATCTTATCAAATAAATGATTGAGCCCTTGGTCTAAATTATATTATCTTTTCTGAGATTTGACATCGTAACTGTAATTTGAACGCACTGAGGTGATCACTGAATGCCAGCCGTTGATTTGTAACGCTTTCGGCGCCATGTTTTCACTTGCATCTTTCGAATTCGATGAATGCTAGCCGGGTTCTGGGAATTCGGTAATACATCGAACCACATCAAAACAAAAAGCCATAGTTCCCGCCGTCCTGTGTCCCGGTCGAGGCTCTGTTCTCGAGCACTTGGTGATATTTATATATTGATAATTAATAAATTTCACTCTGTACAGATTAATGTAACCAGGTATTCAAAGAAGAAAAACCCTTACCTCTCGATCATTTGTCCTGGTATTTATCATGCCGAAATGAATGCCAGGAGCACATTTCCTTGTAAATTTAGCAAGTTTGAAGTTCCATATTTTCATGTCTTTGCAACGAATTCTTATGAAACTTCGAATGTAATTTTACTAAATTCGGCATGACAAAATGATCCATGAAGATAGTTTTCTTTTTCCGAAAAATTGTTGACATTGCGTGACATCGTCAAAGTGGTCCATTGCGATTTCACTTTTGTCACGCTATACAGCTTTAATTTAAAAAGTGCTCGTGTCCAGGGACTGGCATAGTGGAAATTGGCACTTCTGGAATTGTATATAAATACATTATAGTTAGTTTTTTTCTCGTGTGCGCAAAATCTGTTTCGGACTTTTAGGACTCGTACGTAAGTTCT